TTCCTCCGTATCTTTCGTTGAAGCACCGAGAGAAAGAGGAACATTAGAAGGGAGGTGATATTTGTGGAAAGCCATCCCTATCCTCCCTCTTCCCCCAGAGAAGGCAGGTAAAAGTCAATTGCTCTCTATATCCACAGGACTTTTTTATGTGTGTGTGGGAGCCGGTTAACTCACTGAGTTTATTTTATAAGTTCCTATTAAACTATGCTACCAGCGTGGCACTGCACTTAAAAAAAAAGAGGAGTGCACAGAAGATAAAGCTGTTACTTTTCCACTGAGGAATAATTATTTTGTGAGTGTGTGTGTGTGTGTGTGTGTGTGTGTGTGTGTGTGTGTGTGTGTGTGTGTGTGTATATACATGTCTTTAGAAAAAACAAAAGAAAGCTTTATTAAGCTTGGTAATCCACATAAATAAAAGTAGGCAACTGCATATTAACTGAAGTTTTGTGGCACTGAAACATTAATTTATATTTTGCTTTTACTTATTGTGTGAAAATTCATGACTGTTTACACCATATATTTATCATGGCTTTTCATCTCTTTACTCTTTTATCGCTGTTCTCAATGGATGCCTTTTATGGGGCATTAAAAAGCAAAAAAACTAAGTATCTGGGCATAAAAATGTGATGTGTATTTGATAGTTTAGTTTGAAGAAGTTAGACAGTGTATCCTAAAGTTTTCCATCATGTGTTATGGAATAAGTCACAAAGTTGGCTTCATTTACATCTCACACTATCACCGACTAAAGCAGTGGGCCGTACTGTATTAAAAAAAAAGAAAAAAGAAAAAAGGAAAAAGCCATTGGAATTTGACCTGCTAAGGAATGTCCGGCACCATCATGACATCCTCTTGCTTTTTAACCTCTCCACCCAGTGAACAGCACAACTACAAAGTGCTACTTTGATAACAGCAGCGCCTGAGGAGGATCAGACTGATATACCGTCTCATGTTTGTGTTCCCAGTTAACATGGCCATAACAATAAAAACTAAATGGGAACAAACGACCAGCATCCCATTTTTGCTCCTCTAACCTTTAAGCACACTCAGGGCGTGTTGTCAGGTTGAAAGTACTTGCTGGAGGGCACAAACCATCATTTATTTTTCTTACTTTTACAAACAAATTTTCTTTCTATTTATTGGTCAGGGGCCAAATGGCCTGTGTGTCGCCCATCTTGACGCAATGTGCATCAGACCCAGCTGGCTCTTGTCCAGATAACCAAAAGGGGCAGCTGGCTTCCTCTAAGGACACCACCAACTCCCCTACCATTTCAATGAAATTATTCTGCTCTTCAGCCAAACGGAGAGCCATTAGTCTCTCCGTTCTACTCAGTAAATAACGATGTGACGCAGAGGAACACAGGAAGTAAGCAATGCTGAAAACAAGACACACATTTTGTCATCTCTTGTAGAGCTTCTATATAGCTCAGTTTAAGTAAGCGTATGAACAAATGAGAGTAAATTACAGTACGTTTAACTCTTTAGACTGGTGGACCCCAACCTGGAGTCAAACTCTGATAAGGGGTCACAGAATAAATCTTAGGGGGTGTGAGAAGATAACAAGATGGGAAAGCAGAAACATATTTTTGCTAGACAAATAAAGCCAAAGGGTGGGAAACACTGCTTTAGATTGTGACATCGAAAGACCATGCATAAATAAAGCACCTGTTAACACATTATGTACAAACAGCTTTGAAGCTTTGACTACTGTGCAAAGAGAATTATTTTTTTTAATATTGCATTAATATAAATAGCCACACACAGAAAGAAACTGTTGCAACTGCTACTGTACCTTCCGAATATGCAGCTCCTCCACAGCCTCAAATAGATGAGTTTTAAATTCCAACAATTGTAGTAAGAGGGGGCCTCCACTTTCTGTCTGACAGCCGGCACTGGACAGAGACAGCTCCTGCTCCAAACCAGGCCCTCCTACCTGAAAAAGAAAAATGAAAGTTCTGATTTAGTTATTCAAATACATACCAAATCCAGAAGACACACATCAATTTGGCAAGATATGAAATAAAAATAGGTTATATGCAGAGACTGTGGCACAACTAGAGAGCGTGCCCATGTCTTCCTGCATACTAAAAGAAAGAGTGACCCGCCTTATTTTAACAAAAAGAAGTTAAACAATGTATAAAATAGCAATAAACAGTTTTTTTTCCATAAATATCAGGACACATGAAGAAAATATATTTTATTTAAGAACAAAACTAAGATGAATACAATATTTAATTATTTATATTCAGCTTTTTTGAATTTAATCTTAAAATGAATAAAGAAGTCAGGAGATTAATGTTATTTGCTTCGTCTTCTAATGTCAGTTGTAACTTACAGTGGTGTGGGGGTTGTGTATCCCAGAGTCTGCATCTAGATCCATCGGGTTGTTTCAGGACAGGCCAAGGTCCCACTGGGTTTCTTCTGCCTGTTAATCAAAACACTTTGTTGAAAAAGGTTAATAGAATAGGCTGTTTAATAAGCAGTAACACCCTGCTTTTCTCCTTATAAGCTTATAATTACTTCCTCATATGCAATTTTTACTGCTAAGTGATTTCATTTGAAATAATAGGCTGGCACATTAAAGCCTCATAATGTTTCTCAATCACTACAATCTAACCTAATGGCTTTGAAATGACCATTAGGGTTTTTTCTTTCTTTGTTTTACACCACTTCCATCGCAGTGAGAAGATAACACCTTGATAAGCCATCTAGGTTAAAATGAACCAGGCCATTGACACTAATAGGGGTCAGAGCAATAACACTGAATGGACAAATTGCACTGTCAATGCTTTTTAAATTATCTAGGTTATTTAATTTGACCTGTGGATGGTCCTCTGCAACTGTCTCTGTCCCCTCAACATAACCAAGAGACTGACTGACACACACACTGCATTCACGCAAACACACACCTACTGAAAAATATGACTATTTAAGTGGGAGGTCTCCACTAGCCACTGATCTCTTAATAGAACAGACCTTTTTTCTCCCATTTAACTTGCGCTGGTATCAATCATGTTGGAGAATTAAATGATCCCTGCTAGAATTGGTTACTATCATAAAATGACACTATGACCCCAGGCTGAGGAGGGAGGGGATGTGCAAACGTGTGTTAGTGTGTCAAAGTGATGGTGCATGTGTGTCTTATGTGCACAGTGTCAATGTGTATGTGCCCTGTGAGTGAGGGAGTAAACCACAATGTCTTTATTTGCTTCTCCTGTGATTCAGTTGAGCAGATATTAACCACCATTTCTAAGCCATGAAAAGACAAATTAAAAGTCCTGCCATCCATTAAACTGGAACGATTCTATCAAACAACATGATGTCAGTATTGCCTTTGGTTGAGTTATGTTAAATGCTCAGGAAAGTTGAACCAAAGTTCTGAGATTGTAATGCATAAAATTACAGTGCAGCTAAGAACAATACAACACTAAACTACTGCAATACTAGTGTGAAAGTGCACTGCAACAGCCATTTTTACATTTTGTCATGCCCCCATATGAAAAGCACAGGTGTAAACAACACATTTCTACTTCAAAATCATAAAACTTTACTTAAGTTTCAGGGGTCCTGGTATTGTGCATGCTGGCTCACTACTGGGACACATGAATGCAACAGAGCCATCATTAATGTAATTAGTAACACCAGTGCACCTGTGCCATTGTTAATGTAATTAGTAACACCTGTGCTTGTCCTTCTATGACAAGTCAAAATTTCTGTTAGACAGCACACTGCAGTCCTACAATGTTGGGAGGGTTTTTGGCTATTCATCAGTTGAGACTATTTACTAGTACTGCCCTATTCACTTATCCTATTGCAAATAACGGCAAAATAACAAGCTCTTTATAAATGCTAACTTTTTCTTTAAAAGGGGTGATGTGTTTTGAGATTTACAGGGAAGTTACCTGGAAAATTAACTGTAAATTACAATGTTTATATTATCAGTATTCCTTTATCAATTTAAATTCACGGTCAGAGTTTCCAAGTTAACATTGCCTCCATATTATTGCCCAGTTTTCTTTCTTCTTAATACTATAGGCCAACAGTTGTAATTAATAAACCCTGTTTTCAGTCAGGATGTGTTAAATTCCCAATAAGTTTGTTATAGTGTTACGCTTTTCACTTTGACTTAATTTAACTACATTATGATTGAAATTAACGAAAAGTTAATTGCAGTCCATTTTCCTATCTTAATGCGAAACATTGCTAAAAATTAGCTTAAACTAAAAGCTAGCTTATGTGGGAATGTTAGCTAGCACGAAACTCCAATTTGCTACCACTAATAAAAAATTAATACATTTTGTGCATTTATTTGAAGACATTTTGTTTTGAAAATGTTAATTTCACTGGATAATACGATGCTTTTTATTTTTAGTGAATTAGTCAGATAAAAATGTGATTTGTTGGTGAATGTTACCTTTGGTAATTAGCCCAGCGAGCGAGGAATACGTGGATCACCAGGCGAGTTGGTTCCCTACAGCGCCCCCGTGTGTCCAGGCGGTCGGAGGAAGTGTAGTTGCTGGCAGAGATGGAAATAAAAATAAATCAAAAATACAAAACACAAATTAAGTGATTAAAATAGTGAATTCACAAAGTGGACAAACTCAAATGTCTTTATCGAAGCAAATAAATTGTAAAGCCCGGCTGCATCCCTTCTAACAATAATACTCTTAGAAAAAACTACATTTTCCTTGAGCACATGAAGGCAACATGACTAAGGACCTACAGTGAAATCCTAGGATGTCAGATCAGTGTCCATTTCCAATTCATGAATATTCTTCAGCATGTATCATTATTGATCATAGCACCAAAAGGTCAGGCACAGAATTAAACTGAGACGTGAACTATGTGTGATTTAGTGATTGGTGCCATCTAGCGGTTTAAATTGAATATTGCATTGGCCTATGTAGTAAAGACGCTTGTCCTTGGACGTGGTTCCTGCTTGTCTAGCTTTTTTTTTTTTTTTTAATAAACTAGAGACGGGTTTTCCCCATCATTTGGCCAACATGGCCTCAATAAAGGAAAGAGCTGCGGCGTTGAAACTTGCAGAGAAACTGTGTGTGCGTCCTCAAGGTAAGTTAATTAAAGACGCGCTTCATCCAGGTGTTGTGGTTTCTGCAGCTCGTGCAGGCCTGTCCGCGCTTCTGAAAGCGTTTCACGCTGAGCACCAAAGGAAAAAAAATCCACTTGTATCATGCTTTTCTCATCCATGTTCTGCTCTCATAAAGTCCTGTATTATTTACTGTTTATCTGTACCCAAACGCTGCGCATGTCTGTAAAATAAGAGGCTAGAGACTGAGTTTGTGTTCCTTGGTTCATGTTTCTCTGACTTCCTCTTAGCTCATGGAGTGGCCAGTAAACCATCACAGTCTCCCTCCTTGTGGAGTGGCCTCATCTCCCACCTCAGGTGTTCTGTGAAGGTGAAGCGTCGACGGGTACACCTGAAGTCCCACAGTGACTGTTTCCTGGGCTCAGAGGCCGTTGATGTGGTGGCAGAACATATTAACCACATCATGGACGTAGAGGGTGTGTGTGTGCCAGACAATGGCTTTTATAAATGGTAGCATTCAGTATTATTCCCTCAGATGTTACGTCAAATAACTGGGTCATCTGCGGGTTCAATATGACCCAAATCATCCTTTCTTTATCCTCTATTTTTATTTATCAATGGACATTCAACAAATTGCTCATCAAACCTTATGTTTAATTAAACTAAAGGTGCCAACGTGTCACGGGACAAAGTGGTGTGTGTGTGCCAGGCTCTGTTGGACTGCAACATGTTTGAAGCGGTGGGAACCAAAGTGTTTGGGAAAGACAAGAAGCAAGATGTCTTTCAGGACAGCAAGAGCGCTCTTTACAGGTGAGACACACACAAAGCGAAAAAGTGAAAAAACTAAATTGTAGCTGTAATTGATATGGGCTGTGACTGAGTTTAATATAGTAGACTTTTATCTGCCTGTAAAATGTTTCTCACAGGTTTGTAAATGTGTCCATGCCTTCAGTGGATGAGCTGGAGAGAGGTCTGCTTGTGAATGGGATCCAAAAACTCTTCCGCAGTGCTCCATCAGACAGGTATGAAGTCTAAATGATGTCGCTCTTCATTTTCAGATCCTTATATCTTGTTTTATGGAAGTGTTTCTTACAGTCTGAAAATTGGGATCGGGATGAATGAACTCTCAAGTTAAAGACAAAAAGTCTTATGGTTGACTTAATGAAGGCGTGTGAAGAAGAATGTACTTGCAAAATTATCGATGCCACTGTGGTATAATGTTATGTTTAATGATGTTAAATGTGTAGTTAAGAGCCTGAGTGTAATGTTGTTTTTTTAGGAATCTCTTGCAAATGTTTTCTATATTAAAAAAGTATGAGCACTGTTTGAAGGAGATGGCTGGTTGGGATTGACATTTAATCTATTATGTAACAGCCATTTTAGCTAGAACTAGAGGTGAGAAATATGAATAAAATCTTCTATCCCAGTGTACAACTTTTCATGTAATAGTGGTACATATCATGATATAGTATATTTCCTGGACATTCTGTTTTAATATGTTTAGAGATAAAGTGATGATATGAAGGTTGTGATTAAATATCTGACAAAGTACTAAAAATTGATGCAGAAATTCTGTAAAACCAATGTTGCCGCTACACAGTCTTGTTCACTGATTAGCAACATGCCCAGAAAGGACTTTTCCAAGCAGAGATATTGATAGGGAAGCTGCCTCTGTATAAATGATTTAAATCACAACATGAGGTCAACTCTTTATAGACTCATAGTACCATCATATATATATATATATATATATATATATTACATGTATCAAAATGCTTCCCAACGTTGAGCTCTGAATTGTCTATGTTTTGCCCATCAGGCAGGAAGAGCAGACATGTCCCACTGGGTCACATGTTCAGGTCTCCACCCCTCTCCACTTCACTCAGACATCCACAAAAGCAAACCAGCTGGACACTCATGTCCCTGGCAGCCTGTCCCTGAAGGCTGCGGTGGACAATCTGAGTCTGAGTCCCAGCAGAGTGCAGACGGACTCTGTGTTACCACCACCGTGTGAGTCAGCCATGTCATCACGTGTGTGTGTTTCATCGTCTTGTGCCACTTTTGTTTTCTTGTTTTCTTTACCTTTTTAAAGCAGAGATTTCTTTTATTATTTTTACACAAATTGTCACAGGGAAAAAACTCCAACATCATCTCCCCTTTAAAAATGGAGCCATGTTGATTGAAAGTCATCTTGATACCTAAAGGTTTCTTTGACCTGTTGAATGTGGCTGATAAACTGATTGATTGAGTTTTACAACATTTGCAGCAGGTGTCTAACAAGTGTTATCATAAACTCTAATCCAGTCCCCTGGATTAGGAGATTTTACAATTGTACCATATGTTTTTATGTTGTTGTTGTTATATTTTCATTTTGCTCCATTCCACAGTGGTAGAGGAGGTGTGGCAGGAGCAGACCCTGCTCAGGCTGCTAAATCTGGTGGAGCTCCCCCTCCTGGAAGGAGTACTTCAGTGCAGCCAGACCGCATCGTCTCCCCCGCCGTCACACCAGCTGGCTCACAGTAACCCAGACCTGATCTACAGCAGCAACCACCTGGACAGACAGATCCTCAAGGCCTTCAGGGAGACTCAGTATGTTTGGCTCAGGCAGCTTGTGACAGATGTGGCTGCATGTTTTTACTTTACATGCCTCTGTAGTTGCTTACAGGAGGTTGCTATAAATGCAAATTTAATCTCAACGTGTCAGACTAAAGAAGTTTACCTGCGATCTCCTCATCTTACTCTCAGCAAGAAAGAGAATAAGCATATATCCCAGAATGTGTAACTACCTAAATGCCTTTCTGACAAACACCAGCTATTTCTTATCACTAATTTGACAGCAATATAGTGTGTTTATTATAATCCAATCAGATTTTTTTTATGTCTCAGGGAGGATGAATGGCTGTGTGCAGCCCTGGACTGCCTGGACTTCCTCTCGGATCAGCCTGTGGTGGAGCTGAGCCGGGAGCTGCCTCACTGTTTCCCTCAAAATCAGGAGAGCTGTGACCAAGTCCCAGCTGGTAGCAGTACCCAATATGGAGGCGAATGCTTGGATGGGCGCCAGTGGGGCAGATTAGTCATCCCTGTTTGAGCTTTTAGTCATGGTTTGATTCTGTGTGACTGTGTTTTTGTTTATTCAGCTTGTGGGGGTTGTTGTTTTTTTTTTGTTTTTTTTTTACATGCAGTAGACAGCCTGGTTTACTTTAGCTGGCGTTAACTAATGTGCACAACATAAGTGTCCATTTCTGCACGTCTGGCTCTAGTGCTAGTCTCTGACTTCTGTGTCCAGGCCACGACAGTGATGAGCCTCGTCTCTCCCAGAGCGGCTTGGCCCAGTGTAAGCTGCTGCTGTACAGGACCCTGGTGAAACACTACAGCCACACAGACAGACCTCCGCTGCTGGCACAACACATGACTGACATCTGCACGGCCATCACTGACCTGCTGGGTAAGAACCAGGACTGTGGCTCAGACACTGTAGTTTATCACAAGAAAAGCTGATTTTATCACTTAGATTCACATTGTTCAGTTGTGAGTGAACCACGGGGTGGTAATAAAAACCTGTCTCTCTACCCAAGTTGCTCAATAACAACAACATTACTTAATATTTGTGTCTCTCTTGCCTTTCCAGTGAATGCTAAGTTAGACAAGGCTCTTGAGGCTCTGCAGCTGTGTTTGAAGTTGCTGCCACCCAGCTGCAGAGACGAGCTGCGCAGGCTGCTTACATTCATGTCTCTGGCAGCTGATCCACAAGGGATAAAACTGGATAAAGAGGTGAGATCTGGTGACTAAATGTTAATAATGGATAATGCGTTTTTAAAATGTCAAAAGGAAGAATTTGTGGACGGTGAAAGTCATCGTTGTGATGCAGCATGAAAAGGGGACATCAGCTGTTCTGCTTGGTTTCTCTTCTGTATTTTCCCATTTTTAAAATGTGCTGTTGAACCTTTTAGATGGAAAACAGATTAGCAGTGAACAGGTCTTTCTCCAGAGCGATCATCCACAGCAAGGCTCTTTCAAAGGACAAAGAGGACCTGATTTTGTGCTTCATGCTCAGCAACATCAAGGAAATCTTCAAGGTAAAGAGACACTGTGAGAACAGTTCCCAAACACTTCCCAAACAAACCATGGTTCTTTAGATTTACACTGCAGCCATTGAGCATTGCACGTGCTAAAGACAGATTTTTAAAAGAAAAATTAATCCAATTAATCCTACATTTCCCAAAATGTAACGAATAGCATTTTTTCATTAATCCCTCCCTGCATGTAAACGACCACGTTTTCAAACTCCACAGCTTTGTGTTACGAATTTGTATCTCCTGCACCCAAGTTGAGATAACCCTGCTGACATCAGTATGACATCATCAGGGTGTTGTGTTGTGAGTTTCCCCAGTGGTCACTGCTCTTTCAAAATGATCTAGTGCGAACAAGCAGTGTTGAGAACATGTCAGACCCCTTTAGTAGTTTTTACAAGTCAAGATCAAAATCACAGCACAGTCATTCTCTTTAATTCATGTGTATGGAGATTTTGCCAGATGATACACTTGGTTTTGACCTGGTCCTGACGAACCTCTTTCAGAGCCACACAAGACATGACAAATATTTTAACAAGCTGAGTCACTGCAGTGTTCTGTAAACTGACCTGGGGCAAAACAGAGTCTGGCCCCGGCAGTTTATCACAAGGTTCACCGTGATTTTGCTTTATTGGTTTGACGATGACTTTAAAGCGTTTGTTCAAGTCTTGACATTCGTTGGTGCTCATGACTCATTGTTGCGTAAACAAATTGGTCAAATTGAGTTGCAAAATATAGTTTAGAAATTGCCGTGTGACATTTGTGTGAGGGTTTCAGTGAAAGTGATAAATAGGAACTTGAATGGAAAAGACTGCCAATTTTTTTTTTTTAAAATGTACTTTAATCGACAAACCAATTTCTGCAATTCAATCATTTCCCACCAAGATGTTTTTTTTCTTTTTGCTCCAGATACCAGGAGCTCTGCACAAAGGAGTGAGTGACAAGCTGGCCAGCCTGGTGCACGGGACACAGCCCGATGTGACTGGTAAATGACTTTAATAATAACAGCAGCATAAAAACAGCAGTGTCCAACATAAAACAAGAGTATTAAAGAGTATTAAAAGCCAGTTCATGTTGGGGCATCGTACTGTAGAAAGCTTACCGTCTAACTGGGTTGTAGCTGTTGCTGTACAGCTGCAGATTTCAAGCCAAGTCAGATATGGTATCCAATTTAAAATTGTTCACTCTTTCACAATAAGCTCTTATTCACATCAACATGACAGATTTCACATCTGTGCTTGAGGTTTTAGATCCACTCAACTATCAGGGAATTCACAGATCATTGAGGCTCCGTGTGTCCTCGTTACAAGATGTGTATTGTCTAAATATTCTGAAGTAACCCATCATTTCCTTGGTGTTTCAGCTGATATTGTCATTTCATTGCAATGCCAACATGCGTCTAGTTTAATTTGTCTCCATCATGATTTATTACTTAGTATTAAACTCTTTACAAAAAAGTCTGGAATTGTAGAAGCAGAAGTGCGTCAGTTTCTTCAACATAGAATATTTGACTTATCTTTTTGTTGTTGAATATTTTTGTAAAGTAGGTGGATCCAATCAATTTATCACACATTTGTAGAAATCGCAGACAATTTGAAAAATGTATTTCATGCATTCAAAATTGCCAACTGTGTGTCACATTTAAAGAGCTTGGAGTGCAGAGATAAAATGACAAATAATTAAATTTAAAACATTTTACATTGTTCATGTATTAGACATAATATTGGCATTGATCTGATAATTTATTGCCAGCTAACTGGAAGATATTTTGTTCACCTCTAAATTACACTTTTAGTATAAATCTGAAATTATTGGTGTGTACTGTATAGGCAAATGTGTGCAGTGTAACAACTTCATAAGGTGAAGGTATGTCAGTGTTTTTTTGTTTTGTTTTTTTTTTTGTCTCTAAATGGCCAAAAAAATGTTGCATCTTTTAACATTCAGCAGTTGCTTCTTTGCACTGTTAATGGAAATAATGAATATGGCATCTCCAGGTTAACCCTGTGTTTTTCTCTGTCGTCTTAATGTCCTCCAGGCTCTTTGTCTAGTCAGCAGGTTTCCAGCAGGACTTATACTGACTCTACAAAGAAGACCACCAACCAGGAACTGTGGGCTCTCTTAAACAGCATCCACGGGGACACAAAGATCTCAGCCAAGGAGAGAAAGCACCGACTCAGACAGTTTTACCAATCCCACCCAGAGATATTTAACCAGTACTTTGGCGACTCTGCTCTTAGTGTGCTGTAGGTTTGTGAAGCCAGTGATATATAGGCCCTTAGCCTGGGTGTCTGATATCTTCAGCTGTCCATTTCAGAGGAGGTTTTGACTCTTACAGTTTTGGTTAATAGCTGGCCAGTTAGACACAAGCTAACTGATTTAAAATAAATGTTTGTAAATGACATTATATCTTAGAAACGTGTAAAGATACAAATGGGAAAGACCCCTACAGCATATGATTACACTTGTATGCTCTTATTTGCTTTATTATTGAACAAAATAAATAAACAGATGACATATTCTTGGCTGTCTTTCTCTTGAATATAAATATGAAACATTAATATTCCTGTGATTAAGCTTGAACATGTATGTTTTTTATGGATATGATGGTTAAAGCAAAACAAATGGAATAGAAAAGAAGAGGTCAATGTTAGCATTTTCTCAGTTTGTGGATACACATTAATGTTGTGTATCTTGTGCCCCGATGCACCCAGTGTCAGTATTTGTGTATATGAATTTTTATAATGCAAATTTTATAAAATGTGGAGTGATGGACAGTGTTGCAAAGAAGTGTCTTTTGTCTGTGTTCAAATTTGAAAAATTTTGAGTGCAATATTTGCTTAACCCAGCACACTTCAGTGGCAACTAAATTTAATTTAGTGAATTAGATATAAACTTTTCAAAATTACGCTTTATAACTTGTGGGGACCCTGTAGCATTAGATTTTGACCGTTTCCTCCTAGACGTAAAAACCGCACTCTCTTGACTAACTGGTGCATTTAAACAAATCCCTGATAGATTTACCAATACATTTTAAAAAATTTAGTTGAATAATTTGAAAATTAATTTCATATTAAATTACTGTATAACTTCATAAGTAATTCTGGCAAAGTCTTGTGATAAATGAAACAAAATCCTAACTAACAAAGAAATTCTAAATGTTGAGAAGTCTTACGCCGAACAAAAGCAATATAGTGAAATTGACTTATAGCGCCACCACGCGGTCAGTTGATGTAGTGGTTTGGTTGCCTCGGTAATGTGATACCTTGACCCGCTGTGTGATGAATAGCTGCTGTGGGTGCTACTTATTTCTAGAGCAGACGTATAAAGCAGAATATTCAGATCAATTACCAGAGGTTTTCTACCAGCACGCGCTTGAGTTCTGCGGGTCAGACCCTTGAATGTTTAATTGTTGAGTAGCTGTGTGTGTGTGCTGCAGCCGGCGGTAGGCCGGGCGCGCTGGGCGCGCTGAGGGCAGTCAAGCGGCGGGCCTGCGGGACCTGCGGCGGGCGGAGCCAGGTGGGGGCGGGTTGGGGGCTCTCGGCCCGTTACCGGGTATATTTAACTCCGCACCAAAAGGAAAGTCGCTTCGGGTTGCAGTCAGCAAACCCCTCCCTCCCCCCCCCGCCTGCCCCCCCCCCCCCCTCCCCCCCCCCGCCCCCCGCCCCCCCCCCCCCCCCCCCCCCCCCCCCCCCGCCCCGCCTCCCTCGCCCCCCCCTCCCCACCGCCCCCCCTCCCCTCCCCCCCGCCGCCCACCCCCCCCACCCCCCCCCCCCCCCATCCCCATGCCCTCCTACCCCCACCCCTGCCTACCCCACCCACCCCACCTTTCAAGTTAAGGAGATGGCTGCGACGTAAATAATCTCGAGGTTTCCGGGATGAAACAATGCTCTCCCTCAATTGAAGACGGTGTCAGGCAGCGATGACGTTATGAATAAATTTGTCACCGTTATAATTTCGCTTTAACCGGGTCATGACGGAGTAGCTGTGTCATAAGGCTTTGTTATTGTTGTTGACAGTCGAGGACTAAAGCTAACGTTAGATAAGTTGAGCTCCAGCTAACCCACGTCTTTCCTCGGGGCTGCCGACTACAAGGTTAGTAACGTTGCCGCAGATAAGGCTGTGAAGACAGCGACAGTACCATGAGGCTTTGTTTTGTTTACCTCTATCGTGTTCACCACCTCGGTCTTAGCATCGCACTGGCACATTGTACACCCCCCACCCCACCCCTACCCCACCTCTCTACAAGTCTAGATGATGTCATCATCTGTAACAACAACAAACCTGCATCTCTCCTGTTTGTACTGTTACATGAAATCCCATCACTTTACACATACTGCATGACTAGCTAGAAAGATCACTGTCACAGCTGTGACATAGCATCTTATTACACTCTTGACAGACTTTCAACACTTGAGGTTCACTGCAGATTGGAGCTATAACGAGTCTTCTGTTCTGCAAACTCTAGCATGCCAAAGGAGGCAGACCACCTTGAGGATGGAGGAGACAAGGAGTCGAAGGAGGAGAGCACACAGGGGACTTCTCAGGAGACAGTGAGGAAGAGAGTCCGGGCAGATACTCCGAGCCGGCATGCAGAGGACTCTCCACAAGGTGAGGAGCAGGCTTTAACTATTAATATAATAAGTAAAACACATGCAGGCAACCACCATATGCACATGTAGATAATTGATGTCTTTAGAGGTGGGAATACAAGGTACAGCTTCCTCCAGGCCTTTAAAGCCTTAGTTGATCTGTGACTTTGAGGGTTGGACACCTCTGATTCTTTGAGTGTCAGCTATGAGTTATAGAAAAAAAAAATGTAATTGTGGCATGTGCAAACATTTTGGCACTACATGTAAAACACTGACAACTTCCTGAACTTATTAGGCCTTAATTCACTCATTAGGATTTTAAGAAAGGTTAAGGATTAACATTAACAAGTCCACATCTGATGAATTCTCTGAATTTGCTATTCACTTCAAAATCACCAAAATATGTCATTTGCCCAGGAGTGCCCACACATTTTCATAAAACTATGTGAGAATGTCTCAAAGAAATATTGTCAAGAAGACAGCACCCTGGGTTAACATCATAGGCCTGAGGTTAGGACACAGCTGTTGCACAGCTGTTTCCTTACTGAATTCTAGACATGGACTTGCAGTGCAAAGGTTCAGCTGGGATCCAATCTGCTCCTTATCACATACTGTAACTGGCCAGCTCAGTTCCCCAGTCTCTCCTCAGCAGTCCTTTATTAACACAAACATGAACTTCGATGGGAACACAAACAATCCTCCTTTTGTACGGTTGAGAAGAAACATGACTGTTGTAGTTAGTACAAAAAAAAAAACAGCTTCACATGAACGTTCCTTCAGGGGTTGGCAAATAAATTCTTCCTCTCTGCAGTTCTTAACTCTTTATTAACAGTGCCCCTCCAATTCTCATCTTGTCATCACTTTAACACGTCCCACTCCGACCTGACGGCTAGTAAGAGCAGGTACACACAGAGGATGTCCAGCAGGTGTGAATGCAGGTTTTGTGATGTCACACCTCTGTGGTGTACAGCTGTTCCCCTCTCAGATCCACTAGCTATAAGTAAATGGCAGTTCACAGTAAAGTGATTATTAGTTTTGATATCATAATTTCTAGCATGGCAGAAATCCCCATCCATGAGTTTAGTCTAGTATGGAGTATGAGGTTTAGAGTCAAAGTCAGCTTTCATAACCTCAGTTTGGGTCATGTTTCAAGGCTTGTGTTGGCACATCTGCCAAAGCTTAGAACACATGAATAAAAAAACTTATTCCACAGCCAGAAACCAAACGAATTCTAACAGTGCAATTAAGAGTAGACACTTTTTTGGACAGTTATTCCTAGTGATTATAATTACCCATATGAGATGTATAGTGCAGGAACATTGTCAGTTTTGATTTGGAAAAAATATTATTGAATTATCTCATTTTGCCACTTGGACTTTTATAATGTTCTTCAATATTTTCTGCTTGACAGATGAAGACATTATAAATGTCTTTGGGAAACTGTGACTTCTTGTTCATGCTCAGAGTTATAAATTGGATTATATTTGATGAGCAAAACTAGACATTTTGCTTTCAGGCAGGTGTGCTGAACAGCGTTCTTTGTGTGTACGCTGGGAGAACTAGAGCGGATTAACACATCTTGTCTTTGGTACTGTCTGTGGCTGCTTGCATACATTCACACTAAATCCACTTGGAAGTAAGAGATAATGCGCTTTGTTTGAAGATTTGTTAAAATCCAGTTTGTTGTCAGTGCAACGGCTCTTTTTCTTATTTTCTCGACTAAAAGAAACTTCGGATTTCTAGCTTTTGGACTTAAGTACATACTGATGTGTGTAAATTTGTTGGAATGAAAATATGTTTTCTAAAATGGATTTTCCCTCCCTCACAGCCAGCCCTCCCAGGTTTGTCTCTGTGGAGGAGATGATGGAGACGGCTAAAAGAGTCACCAACATGGCTTTGGCTCATGAAATTATGATCAACCAGGCTTTTCAAGTCAAACCTGCAGAACCTCCTGAAGGAAGGTGAGAATTTAATTCAGTGCTGTAACTGTCACTTGAGTGCTTGTTTTTGAGTGAGCTCTTTTCTCCTGTAAAAGTAACAGAACATCCTTTGCCCCTGTACAGTTTGGAGCGCAGAGTGAAGGAGATTATGCACAAAGCATTCTGGGATTGTTTGGAAACACAGTTGAAGGAGGAGCCACCATCTTATGGACACGCCATCAAACTACTCGCTGAGATCAAAGAGGTGAAGCAGGGAGGGGGGGTTTATTTTATTCAGGAACTAAACCGATCCCGATGACCTTCCCGAGTGGCACAGTTTGTAACAAGTTTGTATTTTGAGAAGGTCACAGGAGCAGGACTTCACTGTACAGCGATATTCAGTACAATATCCATCCCTCCCAAATTCATCCTGACTTTCCTTTCCTGCCTGTTCTTCAATCATCCTGTTTTCTCTGCTTATCCAGACACTGCTGTCTTTCTTGCTCCCGGGCCACGGTCGTCAGCGCTCCCGTATCGAGGAGGTCCTGGACCTGCCTCTAATCCAGCAACAGGCTGAGAATGGAGCTCTTGACATCGGTCGACTGTCCCAGTTCATCGTTGGGATGATGGGCTCGCTGTGCGCCCCCTGCAGAGACGAGGACATCAATAAGCTAAAGGAGAATACAGATATTGTGCCACTGCTCAAGTAAGCCAAGAGACAAGAGAGGGACTATTATTAGCTCTGCATGTTCCAGGCTTTAGTTTATTTTTAGTGTGTAATTTCATTCCAATCCATTACAGCGCAGAAGTCAGCTTGTTCTGGAGTGATGTTAACTTTGAGAATGATATGGGGCAAACTAGCAGGTCCCCAATCTTAATGCAGACTTAATGAGGGAACATTGAAATGCCACTCAGCTCGACTTTTAGACATTTAAGAGACTGTACCGTTTCATTAAAATTGTTTACATTTTCCCATTTTCTGTTTATTGTTCTTTGTGCCCCCCCCCCCCAGGGCGATATTCTCAGTTCTGGACCTGATGAAGGTAGACATGGCTAACTTTGCCGTGAGCAGCATCAGGCCTCATCTGATGCAGCAGTCTGTTGAGTATGAGAGGAACAAGTTCCAGGAGTTTCTGGAGACACAACCAAGTAAGGGGGCTTTCCTCGACTGAATAAGTGATGTATTGTATTCTTTATGCTGCCAGCGTGACATGTTGGGCTGGAGCACATGGTTGGATCTAAAGTGAAGCAAGGAGCTTCATAATAATCAGTCTTTAAAATTAACAACTGATGAAATAACTACGTGTCATGTGAAAGGGGTCAATTGTAGTTACAAACCCACAGAGAATTACCACCTAACTATGCAGCGCCCTCTGCCCCACAGAGCATTTTAACCTCTTTTATCTAGTGTTTTTGTTTTCTGAATCACAAACTCTGCTCTTATCAACCTTATTTCCAGCTGCAGCAGGCGTCTTTTTAGTAAAAAAAAAAAATCTTTGATAAACCCACTGTACAATACCCGTCCACCACCAAATGGCAAAGTTAGCATCCGGCTAGTGAACATTTAGCAGCTAAAATGTCAGATAATTCCGTCAGTAATGGGTGTAAACCACGACAAGAGCTGGAGGGAGAGTACAACTTTAATTAAGCAGCATACATTTCTGTGTTACATTTCTGTACACACAGAAAAAGAACTGAAATATTAAAACTGTGCAAATTAGTGCAGGCAGTACTAATAAGTGGAATGAATGAAATGTCTTTTTAAATTTGTCCTATCCTTTCAGTAAAAAGGGGAAATCAAAGAATGTTTTAATCTGCTGAGCAATGGGGGGGGCAAACAATCCACTGTGAGTAGTGATGAGTAATGATGTAAATAATTAAAATGTTCCTTTGTTCTTTAGATGCCTTAGACTTCACTGAGAAGTGGCTTGAGGACACAGTGAAAAGCCTGAGAGAGGCTGGGGTGGATGGCTCTAGTGCTGCCTCGTCTGAACCTCCCTCACTCCTCCCCCTTAATGTCCATAATCAGGCCTATCTACGTCTGCTGAGGTGGGACCACGCCTCAGACCCCTTCCCAGAGGTACATAACTTTAACCCTGAAGCCTATCACTGGGTCTCATGTTAGTTGTCTTCTTTCTTTTTTTTTAGCATGTTCTCCACTTGGGATTTTAAAACGATCAAGTCTTGTGTTTGTATCTGCCACCTTAATCTGTATTAATCTTCTCCTCTCCTAAATAGACCATGTTGATGGACCAGGTTCGGTTCCAGGAGATGCAGCATGAGGCTGATCGGTTAGTTCTTCTCTCCGCCCTGCTCCTCATCGTCTACACTACAACAGGGGAGGCCATCTCAGGCCTGCCCGGGCTGATGGAGACTCTGAAAAACACCATCAACATTATGCTTGCTGACATGCACACGCCGTGAGTACAAGTACTTTCACTGCAAACAGTCACACGTATGTGAGGGTTACCTTTCAATTCATTATGTTTCAGACCACTCTCGACTGATTGATGACTGATGAGGGGCAGCCCTTAATATGGTGAACCCTCCATGCAAACAATCAATGGAGGATTAGGGTGAGGATGTAGTGGTGCGAATGTGACGAAGCCATTTGACTGGGGGTCTTTAATCTTGCATGAAAAAAATGTACTGCCTTGGGGTTAGATTGAATTATTCTGGCATGTCCTGATTGGCCATAAGATGACACATACACTGTAACTCCAGCTTCCCTGGTTTGAACCCGGCCACTTTTTGCCACATGTCATCCTTTTATGTAATTATATATTCTTTTAAATTGTGCCTGTGTGGTCTGCAGAAAACGGCTGTTAAGACTGTCTCAGTCTGAATGCGACAGCACTTTGAGTTTATTTTGGTAAAGCAGAAGTTTCCTACTCTTAAGATCCCCAGGTCTTTAAAGCTGCAATAATCAATGTAATCAATAGTGGCTCACATGAGTAAATGTGATGCTGAGGGGGGTTTCTTGTGAATAATCCGCAGCTAATTATCACCCAACTCACCTCAACTCTACAGAGCATTTTAGCTTCATTTAGCTCATTGTTTTGCTTTTCTGGTTCGCAAACTTTACTTATTTTAAGACACAGCGGGCAGCTATTTTCTGCTGGCTAGAGAACATTATGGAGCTTTTAGTGGTTAGAGACTTGGATACCTTCTTCGGTTGTTGGTTGAGACCAGAGTAAATATTTGATAGTAAATTGCTTTTTCTTCTTCTTCCTATTATTATTATTTATTGCAATATTTTGCTAACCCGTTCACCATATCAACTTGCGTTTTCAGCTTGTACCGTTGTCTCGAGTGGTCTAAACTTGTAATGCAGTTTTAATGTGTAATGCAATGTTGCAATGCAGTTTTTACAACTCATAGTTGTGTCGCTACACTAACAAATCCTTCTCTTGCCTGTCCTAAGGTCTTTCAGTGCACAGGAGGCCTTAGCGACCATCGGAGAGAAACTGTGTGTTGAGCTAAGTCAGTGTCTAAGCCAACATGGCTACTCTCCATTCTCTGCTAACCGAAAGAGCATTCTGAAGGGACAGATCTCAGCCACCATCCAACCAGACAACACAGTCCGCAAGCTGATGGGTAACACTGGCACTTTTCAAAATACATTAAAATAACTTATATAATATACCTTATAATACACTTATGATGACTCAGGGTTAGGAGCTCAGCCAACAGCATGTGACTGGCTGTGCTTTATTCACACATATCTTTTGGCAATGACAGAGAATTCCTCTCCTCTCCTCTCCTGTCAGAGTCTCGGGTTCAGACCTATCTCCTGGCTTCCCTGGAGTTCAGTCAACATAAGACCCCTCCTCCTCTCCCAGGAGGTCTGTCTCCGGTCAGCAGGGAGCTGAAGGAGCTCGCTGTTCACTTCAGTCGCCTTGTCACCTACAACAAGCTGGTCTTCTCCCCGTTCTACCAAAAAATTCTCCAGAAAATACTGACGGCAGGGGAGAGTCCTGGCACAGAGATGTAAACACTACAATGTGGATTAATAATGATGTGGACGGCTGTCTGTAGTTTCCCTTCACTAGTAACATTTAAGATTTAGAGAGAGAAGTCGAGGAAGCTGATCTGTAATCAGCGGGTAAAGCCAGCACCCAAGAGCGTGCACCTCAAACTGACATAATCAAAAAAACACTGGCTACCATCTCAGTTGCATTAACTCACAGTGTTGCTTATTTGATAAATCTCAGGCCTCATAATTGTGACCTCACGGTAGTTTTCCTGCATACACTTGTGGTCAGTATTACTAGAAAGGCCGGGTACCATTCAGTAGTTTGATACTCCAGCCAGTACAATAACCGGGTTTTAGTACAAATACTAGAACAAGACTTAGTGTTATAGTTACCATACTCTGCATAATATAAACATATTTCTTTTTACTAAAAAACTATGGCTAGGTACAGTATGAAATTTACAAAACCATAAAGTAAACTCTAGGATATGTAATGAAAGATTAGGTCAACAAGAAAAGGATCAGGGCCTTCATTTATCAAGTGTCTCAGAGTAAGAAATCAGTCCTCACTGGCCAACAGTTTTCAGACTGAAGCATATTCGGTCCTGTTTTTGAGTCGAGAAGCATTTTATCAATGTTCCTAACCCAGGAAACCGCTCCTATCTCTGCCAGTATTTAGGAGAGGCACAGAGGTGTCCCAACCTGTCAGGAGCTGCCAGGAGGAGATTCAGGCAGAGACATACGGGCACATTCCATTCATGGAGAGAAAACTTTGAAATACTTGATGGCAATGGGAAAGCGTCTCTGCGTGAATTACAACCAACTACTTCTGCAGTAATAATTAAAGCTGTGATTACTCAGCAGCACCTCAGATACAGTAAAATACAGATTCATTTATTTCCCCAACACACTGTGTGAAGTATTAGCAAAACCAGCTGCAAATTTCTGGTTTATTTATTTATTTGCTCATGTATTTATTTATATTTGGAAGGGCCATGATATTTCAGAAACGTGTTCATTTTGTTACACTTACCAAGAAGTGGCAGAGATTTAAGTCATTTCTTAGATTAAAAAAAATGATAAAATTGTCTTATTCTGAAGAAAGTAGGACCAAATATACATTGCACATATAATTTTTGACCAGGAGTGATTCCCTACACCCAGACACTTGATAAATAAAAAGCCTAGCTAAGTATTCAGTAACAGCTTTCAGAGTTTAATCAGTACTCAAAAAAGATGTGGCAGTTGTGTAGGACATCAAGTTACAGAGAATAAACAAGACAACAGATGACTGCATGCTTCCTTTTTACTGCAATTGTAGGATAATGCTGAGACAGTGGATACAAAGACTCTTTACACAGTTTCATTTTTTTCTTAGGCTTGAAATCAAATGATTCTTATTTGGGTTTATCAGATTTACTTTGTTAGAGTAAGAGAAAACTAGAGGGGCACTCAGAGAGCACAGACCTCCGCCAAGGCCATTGTCAAACAGCATGCAACAGATTTCAGAGAAAAAAAAATTCAAATTCATAGTAAATGATCCAATCTGCCCCAAAATTTTATGGGTTCTCTCCTGGCCCATGACCCATACCTATAGCAAGACGATGCAGTGTCTAAATGTTATTACTAAATTCCAAAAAAGTCAGTAGTGCGGTCCTTATCTAAATTTGTGAATTACCACTTCAGTGTAGCTTCAACTTTTTAAACTTTATTTTCACACAGATTCAGGAACACAAAGGGTGTGTAGACTTTTTATATCCACTGTATGTATACAAATAAGATGAATGTAACCAGACCAGAATAAATTCCACCGAGGGGAAGCCAGACCGGTGTTATGGACCAACTTGAACTGTTTAATTGTTACTTTGTTTTTTTGAATTAACTTCACTTATTTATAACATTTCTGATGATTTATAAGATGTTTAGAATATTACTTCTGACAAACACTTTGCTTTGCTTTTGAATCTGACATTTCTGATGTATATTTTAATTTAATCATAATTATAGTGGTTGTAACATTTCATCACTCCTTCAGGCAGAATTACATTGCTTGTTCCACAAATGACTAACATGTTCACTGACAACACATCAACTCCACTTATTTGTCTCTGAATGTTCATCCAACATACCAATAAAGCACTGTTTGTCCCACACAACAGAGTCATTCTTTGTCTACTCCATCTTAAACTAAGGCTTAGTCCTGAGAAATGTCTAGGTGAAACTGGGTAATGCATTTTATGATGGTGACCGTCTAGGCTTATGATGTCCCCACTAATTTAACATGAAAACAACTCAAGGACCTATAATTAAAATTTCTATCGAGATGTTCGCCTGGAATACACATATGAGAAGGCAGGTGGTGCTAGATCTCCAATTAACAATCTGATATTGCTGGGAATTGTATTACAGTAATAAAAGAAACAGAATGTTAAATAATTATGAATTATTACTAGACTTCCACTCCACACTGGCATGAATTAGTGACTTTTATTGGCAACAACATAAGACTGAAACAATGAAAAATTCTTGGATCACTTATGTAAGGTCCTAATTTTTTTTTATCTTCGTGTATTCGCTTGAGCATGCAGAGAATCATATAACAATAATAACAAAGGAAATAGCAAAAACATGATCATTAGAAAAACACTGTATAATGGAGAAGGCCTCGTTATGTCCTCATCTAATGCTCCATTATCAGACCAGGCAGATAACTGACAGAGTCCAATAAAGACCTGAGGCTCAAATAGTTTTTCACTAGATTCTTTCAGGTCTAATTTAACAAACAGTAAAACATGAGTACATTTCAATCGTACATTTGAACATTGCTATTCTTATAGTGGTTTATACTTTACTACTACTACTACTACTACTCCCACTCCCACTAGGCTACTTATATTTCCTTACAAGCATACATATCAGTTTCTCTGAAACAACATAACATCCTGTTGAGCACTCAAACTTATCTAAACCACCAATAATCAAGTGTGATAAGCTGATCAATTTACACACCCTGTAAGATCTTAGTTAAGCTAACTGGAGCATACATAAAAATAGTGCTCGATAAAATTAACCTTGTAAATGTGTTGTGCAGACAAAGTATAATGTCTTCACCACGGACAGACAAGTGATTAACTGCATGCTTATTACAGCCACCACGCTGCTAAGTGGAGGCATTTCTCACACTTGCCCACAGGGGGGCGCAGGATCACCCTGAATGACACTAACACACCCCTTTTTGTTTAGACATTTTGACATGTCACAGTAGGAAGAGCACAGATGTAAATAATAAAAAATTGAGTAGAAATTTCCTGAAGAAATGTTGAATGTGCCTGCTGCTTGGTGCGTATCCATCACACACATTTCAATCTCAACAGAGGACGTTACTTTGAGTTTCATCCGTGTTGTAGAGAATTATCCTAACACTGATCTCAGTCACTGCAGGTATCCCTCAAAAGGCTCTTTGAAACTGTGAGGACTGGCCAAAGGGACCTAACAATGATGGTTTCAAACCTAAATTTGTCCCCACATCTATAGCAAGACATGTATACACACATGTACATGCCCTAATAGAAGTTGATCTGCAATAAAGCTACTGTGATTTCTCCTGCTAGAACAGAGCAACATGGGCAATAGTAAAAAAAAAAATGCCCTGAGTTAACCAGTCTCATTAGCCAATCACAGTCAGTTGTGTGAAAGTGTTGATTTACCTTGAAATTGCTCTCATACCTGTGTTAAAAGGCTAAGAGTTAATGAGTCCAATTAACCAATCAGAATCAGCTTTGCCCTTTTCTGCCCAGTAACTGTCAGTAGCACCTGCTGAGACACTGGTTGCTATGGTGACTGTGGCAACCACAATCCCCCCTGTCTCCCCAGGCAGACAATAGCTTTTAAGATGAAACTTGTGTTTGAAAATTGGATCTCAGAGTGGAAACTGCAAGTCCTATTGAAAAGATCACCTCACCATGGCCATCCCAAGGCTTCAATAAAGAGATTGATATCTTTCATGTGTACCTATAGTTTATGGTTGAGGTTCTATCACAGTTCAGAAATTCCCCTCAACTCTGTTGAGGGCAAGATCTTGAGAACTCAGTTTAACATGGGTGTCTATGGGAGCTTTGGACAGCCCTCTCTGCACTTAGGAGGGATTTCCTTAAAAAGTATAAAATATATCAGAATGAGACCAAAACTGGGTGATACAGGACAAAAAACTCTACATTTTTTATATAAAAATTGTCAATGAAGTTTGTAGGATTTAAAAGAGTTTGTTAGATTGTTTTATAAATTTTTTCAGGGATGGCAGTTAGAGTCCTCGTGATGTCATCCATTCTAGCTCTGAACATTCTGTGCAATACACACCCATTATCAAATCTGAAACTTTCTCAAAATGACACGAAACGTAAACTGCGATTTTGTGACAACCGTAATAATTGTAAAAAAAAATATTGAACCCAAAGGAGTCTCAAGTCTTGTGACCCTTTTAATGTTTCAACCGTTATTCTACGTTGAAGTATGGCGCAGCAGTAGAGTTCCAAAGAGGGGTGGGTTTGGTCGTTTTCACGACTTCTCCCCATTCATTCTCTATGGGAATTTTTCGCCTTACGTAGCCATGGTTACTCTATAATATAATGGCAGAATAATACTTAAGAGAATTCTAAATCGTTTTTAAATCAAACGTAGTATTATTTAGATATATACATCATGCCAACACAATATGAACTAATAGTCCTCTAAAAAAAAACACAAGATAATAATGACAAAATCCACATAAGTTATTTTTCATTTTAGTCGTGCAAATACCCTCATGAATTTTCAATAACCAAATTATCAAAGCCAGCTGATATAGTCAACCTGGGAATTTGCCCACTTTGCTTTGTTGATAATCCAGCCATGTATATTATAGGATGAGATCTAGTTTAGCAATTGGATATATGTAGTAAAGTGGTAACAGAAAAAAGGTGAAATAACAATAAAAAGAGAAGACATTGTTTGAAGTTGAAATATGGAATATTGAATTAAGTTCAATGGATGATTAAATAAACTCATCATAAGAAAACGTTTTAATTATAATGTTTCTAAATGTATATAATGCAGTAAAATATCACGGAAGTGTAATGTTTTTACAGTGACATTTATAGACAGCTCTTTCTTTCTCTCTCTCTCTCTCTCTCTCTCTCTCTCTCTCTCTCTCTCTCTCTCTCTCGCGCTCTCTCCCTCGCTCTCTCTCTCTCTCGCTCTCTCCCTCTCCCTCTCACTCTCCCCCCTCCCCAACATTCCACACATGCGGAGAAGCAACAAGCTACCGAACCAGCAGCAACAGCTAGCAGCCAGCAGCTATCTCTGTCGTGGACGAGGCGTATTAACATGCAAAAGTTTAGAAACACGGATCCTCGTCTCGAGTAGACACGAGAGCAACGTTTTATGAAACCTCGGGCGGCTGTTGAAACCATGGGTCATGGCTGGCTTTCGTAATATCTAGTTGTTCGTGTTATTTGGAGCCTCAAATGTGCGAAAAGTCGCTCGGTCTCTCCTCGTCGTTGAACAAGATGGCAGCAGCAGCAGCAGCAGCGGCATCGTTGCAGGAATTGACTGTGGTGCGGGTCCTCGTTGCTAGCCTGTTCCTTGACGCTCTGGGTGATATGAATTACTGGTGTTACTGAAGGTATGTCACCTTATTAGACCAAACTGTCAAATACATTTGCGCCGGTGTTGTTGTTTTTTTTTAATCAATCAAACGTTGAAAGGACTTCGCTCACAGCTAGCTAGTTCGCTAACTGTTAAGCTAGCAAACTTCAGTTTGTTCTCTTTGGTAAACAAGAGTTAGCGAAAGCTAATTAGCTCGAGCTAAAGACTAATAGTAGTTCAACTCAATGGTCTGTGAAGAGTATGCATATGTTTAGATTTTGAGTAACTTTATATGTCCAATTTGTGAGATGTTAATGTTATCTTGAAAATATATGGATATAGGTGGAATTTATCAGGTAAAAAGATAATTAAACACGCAGTTCTTGCTTCACATGAAGTATAAATGGGTTTGTTTGGTTATTAAACCTAGATAGCGTCACACACCAATTATTTAGCTGCTTGTCACTCACAACATAAGTTTCAACAGGTGTCTAGGCTAGAGTTACCCTTCCCCCAAACACACACACACACACACACACACACACACACGTACGCACCACTCCTCCCATATGTTAACTGTCTCCTAGATTGATCAGTAACAAATTGTGTGTACAGCTGGCTTTCTTGTACAACTGTGAGACACACACACACACACACACATATACACACACATATACATACACATGCACGCACACACCTCTGCGTGTCATTTCAGGCTTGGATCTTGTTGCCCTGTGGGATATCAGGCTACCTAGTTTGGCAGTGAGAGGGTAGAGCAGGAGGTATCACAGCTGTGTCTGAGCAACTGTCCCTCAAAAACGGATGGATGTGGCACCTAGGCAGGCATACACAGGGTGAAATCAGATCACACCAATCACACCAGCCATATGGTGGTGGGTCTTCTGCTTTAACTATGTTTAAGTTATGTTTTGTTAATTGCATCATCAAGTTATTATCAATATTTGTCAGGTTTTCAGCCACGGAAGGTGAATGATAAAAGTAGTTTCTGACAATGTATACACTGTACTTTACTGATCAGTGGACAAATGTTATCTTTCTACAATACTCTGTTGGCTGCAAGAATTTTAATTACAGCCTCCAAGTTACTGTCAGGAAACACAATTCTTATATTCATTCACTGGTTAGTACTGTAGTAGTCAGATCAATTTTGCACATTGAGTAATTTTGTTTTAATTAAATTGAAATCCACATATTTTTACACCCAGGGTTTTTCCTTGTTTGGAAGGAAAGTTTGTTAGAACAGGGGTTTTTAATCTCTATCAGCAGTGTATGTGTTAAAAATCACCCTCGCTCTGCTAGTCATGAGAAGTGAAGTGTATTGTATTGTAATCTTGACGCTGAGGCACACCCCTCTGCCTGCCTGAGCCTGTGTGTGACAGCGTCAGTAGTTAGGGAGGCCACTAGCTATCAGCAGGCCTTTCTTGTTGAACAAAACTTTGTTCTTAAGACAGTCAACTTCATAAGTGCGTTTATATACTGTGTGATATAGCCTTTAAACTGCACCTGACTCTTGGGTGTAAACTCAGTCAGGCACAACTTATGCCTCTGTTAGGAAATATTCATGTTGGACTGACAGGCTTGGCCTCTGCCTGTTTTCCTTTGAAAAATAAAATATGGAATACAGGCAAAAATTCTACTTGAACCATAAACAAGAAACCTCATTCTATAGGTTTTGAATGTAAATTTCATGATATCTCCTTTGGTCTTAAAAATCTCACAAAATTTAGAGGCAGGAGACTTGGATGATTGCATCTCTGTGAGTGATCGCTCCACAGATCAGTTGAAGTGTTGCGTTGCACACGCCATAAACTGAAGCAGCAGCCAGTAGAGCTCACGGTTTGCTCTCCTAATGAATTTCCTTCAGCATTTGATTGACGTAGATTTTGATTTGAAGCTATTGAAATTGAGGATATTGCTCGGTGGCCATTGCATGAAGGAACAATAACCATACTAACAGAGAGACAGGTTTATCAATCATTGAATTCAGTCAACAGTCATCTCAGTGTGTAATAGGTGCATCTGTAAAATCTCAGAGTTACAGAACACTCATGCTTCATGGTGTATCATTTCCCCCTGGGGTACTTGCTTGCTTTGCTGTTCTTTGTGTGAAACTGACCCTCCAGTGTAGTGTGCAGGGACAGGCCAGCAATGCAATGGGCTTCCCCCATCTCCCATTACAGCTGACCAGTTCCCCTTTCCAGTAAGGATGACTTGATGGTTTAGATGCGAATTTGCTTTGGCAGCTTTTAGGATTGCTTTATTTGGACTGAAATCTTGCCCAGGGGGTAGTGATATATATTAACCAGTTTACACAGAATTTTAGTTGGAGTTTTTTTTTTTTTTTTTTTTTTTACGATGAATTTGTACAGTCTCATTTTAACATTTACATGTTGGTGTTGGCTATTTTTGCATGTTAAGTGATAATGTAGATAGTTCTTATACCTAAGCCTAAACATCTGTCAAATTGTGTCAGCTTTGCCATAACCTCTACTAAATCCTACACGTGGTTTGTGTTTTATTTATCTCCCTTTTATCTTCTGTTTTTAGGTATGGCCTCACAAGTCTTGGTCTACCCATCACACCTGCACTCAGCGCAAACAAGTGCCTTAGGAACCAGCAGAAGTGGTACCAGCAGACACACAGGTGAAGCTCACCGCAGTAATAACACCAGCAGAGCCTTTCAGCACCGACCTCCTCCCAAGACCTACGTGATCGGAGTCAACTACGGAATTGCTTACCCCAACAACGTTATCCCATCCTCAGCTGGTGCTGATTCAGGAAGAAAGCACAGGGCAGTGCAACTGGAAGAAAGGGAGGAGTGGGCATTGCAGACGGCCGTATCACAAAGAGAGGAGAGGTCTGAGCGACAAAAAGAAGGTCCAGCTGGGATCCAGGATCAAGAGGCTCTTTGCCAGAGCAGAGGCCCACAGGAAGGGAGGCCTCGCAGGGACAGTGGTGGAACTCCATCGGGAGGAGGCTTGGACTGTGGGCTCCTGAGGGGGGCCTGTATCAGAGCAGAGGAGGAACAGGGCAGAAACAGAAGAGGACAAGCTAGAGGGGGATACATTAACCTTCTAGACACAGGTGCCACCCAGAGATGTGAACAGACAGCAGGTGAAAGTAGAGAACAACCACAGGAGAACAACTGCATTGGAACCATGCAGATAGTGGAGGAGGTCTCTGCTCTCCCTTCACTTCCTCCCCCTGTGGCCATGTTGCAAACCGGCACCAGGAACAATGCAGACACTGTCAGAGTAGTGGGCGGAGGAACACTGCCTACTAAACACAGCATGGTTGATGGAGTGACAAATGGGACTGAAACTAAGGATAATACTGAGACAGTGGCAGGAGCCACAGTGACCAGAACTGGATCAGGAGATGGTGACTATCAGTTAGTTCAGCACGAGGTTCTGTGCTCTTTAAAGAACAGCTACGAGGTCTTGGAGTTCCTGGGTCGTGGCACCTTTGGTCAGGTGGTGAAGTGCTGGAAGAGAGGAACGAATGAAGTAGTGGCTGTGAAAATATTGAAGAACCATCCATCCTATGCTCGTCAGGGGCAGATTGAGGTGAGGATTTGTGTGTTTTTGTTGTGTAAATGTTTCATTGTCAGTGTTTTAGTTGCAACTGCAGATTAACTGAAAGGTCTCATTTTTGATTATGAGAGAGACAGTGTTTAGTCTTTCTAGATGCTATAGAACTGTCTATTAGCTAATGTTTTCATTTTTTTTTTTACACTTGATGATTGTAACTGAACACATTTGGTTTCTTCCCTGCTCCTGAATCCTCAGGTGGAGATCCTGGCCCGCTTGAGCAGCGAGAATGCAGATGAGCACAATGTGGTGCGTGCTCTGGAGTGCTTTCAGCACCGCAGCCACACCTGCCTGGTGTTTGAGATGCTGGAGCAAAACCTCTATGATTTCCTTAAACAGAACAAGTTCAGCCCACTGCCACTCAAAATCATCCGGCCTGTTCTGCAGCAGGTAAAGTGAGCTTTGTTTACAGTCATACACAGATATAATGCATTAACCAAACACAGTTTTCTGCTGGGCTAAGCGACCCAAAAACAATCATGTACATGTTATATGTTGAACATTGTGCACAGCTGTAGATTTAAAGAATAAGTTGGTAATCATTGTTTCTTTTATGCAGCTCAGGATCTTGAATTCCCTCAGCTAATCTTGAGCCTAGAATGACTTGCTGAGTGTCACACTAGCTCATTTTTGTATTTATTTATGCCAATCTTTTCAGGTGGCAACAGCCTTAAAGAAGCTAAAGTCTCTTGGTTTGATCCATGCTGACCTGAAGCCAGAGAACATCATGCTGGTAGACCCCTCCAGGGAACCCTACAGAGTCAAGGTCATTGACTTTGGCTCAGCCAGTCATGTCTCCAAGGCTGTGTGCTCCACTTACCTGCAGTCCAGATACTACAGGTGAGGACCTTCACCTTCACTTGAATCTCTGGATAATCTATCACTCACTAATGTTATTATTTAGTTCAAGAACTGTTACAACCCGCTTTGTATCATTATATTCTGTACTTTACATTCGCCTTTGTGCTTTCACACATGCACTGCAGCCTTGAACTTATCTAGACAGTACCCAGAGGAGCTGTATGTGAGAATGCAAATGTCAAATGAGTTGGACCAGACATTTATCAGACTGCACTCTGCCACCTCCCTAGTACAAAGTCCATATAATTTTGGATTGAGCCCATATGTGAAAAGAGTATTTAATTGTCTGGAGAATTCACAGAAAGCGTTTGGGTGTGTTGATGATGTTTCTATCCTGCATCCTGTACGCTTGACCCAGGCGCCACCTCTCACCTAAACCAAACAGATTATCTCCAGTAGGTGAGAGTGTGTCTCACAAAACAATCTCCAGTTGTCTGCTACATGTGTGACTGGTCTTCATTTCTCTGTTACTATTATTCTTGTTAGTGTTTAGTAAGAATGCTATTTTGTGCTGTGAATACGTGGATGGTTTTTGTAAGCTCAGCCATTGAGGCAGATGATGAATAAGCATTGCATTACCAGTCACTAGTTGATTGGATGGGTATAATAGACATCCACAATAACTATAAGTCACATTACATCACTTACACAGAAAAAACTGCCAACAGCATTTTGAATACTAGTCACTTTTGTTATGAGAGAAACCAAAAATAGTTGAAAGGAAGTAAGAGTTGCACATCTCAGAAAGAAACTCAGCTGGTTTCAAGTGGTACAAAATGTTCAGAAATGAGAGTAACGGTAGAATATTCTTGAGAAAGATCGGATGTGTCTTGAAGTCAAATGACACGTCATCTGTCATCACGATACGCCAATACAGTGAGCCGACTTTGTTCCGTGGACAATGGTTGTTTATGTGTGTTTCCCACAGGGCTTAGCAAAGTCTTGCCACAGCTTTATATGTTTAGGCCTTCTCTCTTCTTATGTAATGTGAAGTGCTCTGTATTAACCTGCACCCTCTCACCGGGAGCTCCACGGCATACACAGCACAGACCCCCCCCCCCCCCCCCGTCTCTGTTTCTCTCTTTACTTTTAGTCCTCTTCGCCTGCTGTCTGTCTCTTTGCCTTGCTTCCTCATTCTGTAATGCACGTATGTGTTTTTGGCCACATGCCTGCATGCATAAACATCTGATCCATTTTCAACGTGTCACGCCCTAAACTCTGCTGGTCTTGCATAATGTGCAGAGGAACTGAGATGTTTATATGAGGAACAGCGTCATGAAATATTTGGCATGTCTCTTAGGCTATGGTGAGAAGGAGAATGTGCTTATGAAACACAGCCAGAATTGTGAACTTTGAAACATTTTTGTGCAAATGAACTTCATTAAGTTACTAAGCTTTAAGCTTGTAAGCACACTTTTTGCCACACGATACATTAAGGACCTGTTGTGGTTAAAAAAACAAAGATTAGAGATTATACAAAGAAGAGGATCTGTGCAACATCAAAATCGGTCCTCTTGTTTGAAATGTACTGTAAATTGTTGATGACTTATTGTGGTCTTGTTGGCATGTGGAAGATGATGGTGCGTGACATATTTAATGAACTCCCACCTTGTTTCCAAGGCAAAGTATTTCCTTTTTATTAACTATGGGACAGCAGGCTGGCAACTTCATTCACCTACGTTCTTACTTGCAAGTTTCAGCAAGTAGGTTGGTCGGGTTGGGTAAACTATTACAAACTCTTCAAACATTGTGCAATCTGTGACAAATGCAGTTGAGTTACTGGGTATGTCTGCACCTAATGCACTGCACACACCCACCATTCCACTCTGTGTAGTCCTGATCTGTAAGGAACACAGTTTCTCAGTTATCTCAATAGTAATGAATGAGATGACTAACCAAAAGTGTGGTCTTCCTGTCTTTTGAAAAAAATTCCTTCGGACTAAAATCTAATACAAAGAGCCTCAGAGCACCAAAATGCCAATGTTAACCCTAGATGCAACTTCTCTATTTTAGCAAAAGCAAGCTGCTGTCTACCCCCTTCTCTTGGAGGTGAGGAAGAGACTGGAGCTATAGCTGTTGCATAACATGAAGGCTTTGCTCTCAGTTGACCTGGTTAAGTGTGTATGAGTGTGCTTTCATGTGTGCCTGCGTGTGTTTTGTCTTCGAGCAGTGTCGGCAAATGCTGAGATCATAGTGCAGTTAAAATGGGCTGGCACTGAATTTTTAGGAAGGTCAGTCAGGACACAAAAGGCAAAGGAAGAATGTGGTATGTGAAAACCCACATTTAGATCCAGGAAAAAACATTCGGACATTCCTGTGTGTTTCTGGGTGTGCTCATATGTGTGCCCCCTGTCCATGCAACAGCTGCCAAGGCTGGATCCTGCATATAGGTTACACAATGTACCCTAACATGCTTCACAATAGCTCAATTCATATGTGATAAAAGGGCTTCTCTGAGGATAGAAAATTGATGTGTCAAGGTTGTTAACTTTACCTGCCGGAGCCACAAAATTATATTGACCTGAACACTTCTGAAGTGTAACACGGCCATTTTTTTCTGGGGCCACCAGCAGTGAGCAACAATTTCAAACTGTCCTTTTGTTTGTTAGTTGCTTTGTAAAACATGTATTTTTGTGCCTTTTTTTAAAATAAAATAATGAAAGGCCATTGGGTAGGGCTGGACAGTATAATTATTTGATGTTGCATTACATAACCTGTTACTTCAGTAAGGCCCAAAGAAGACCCAGTGTTTCCCATACATAGGCCACACACCTGTATGAGTTGCGAGCGCTGCAGTAACTGAGTGGGGACTAGGGGCTTCTGTGTGTGGCCACCAAGGTAGCGATAGTCTGTATGTGAGACGTTTAGGGAACCTCGGTAGCGCCAGAAAATAACAAGTTGCACTTTCCCCCTCTAAACTGCACAAGTCTCTGCATGCACATTGGTCACAGGCCACACCACCCACCACCACAAGTGATTCTCAACCTGTGGGAAACACTGAAAGCAGTGGCACAATTATTTTGAGATGGTTCAAATTTAAAAGACCAGATGAGCAGTTGTGTTTACATGTTTATTGTTATTTGCCCAGCTGTGTGTTTTGTCAGTTTTTAATCAGTATGTTGTTCAAAATAACTAAAGGAGCATTTTTAGAGAAACTGTTATTCTTATTTAATATAGGCTATTTATTTTAGTTTTGCAGCTGTATATTTTCAACCAGGGAAGGAAACTCCATCTTTGCATTTCATTTTGACCAGAGTCTGTTTTAATAAAAGTTCTTGTGACATCTTACATGTGGCTCTGACTTACAACTGTAATGTAATGTATTGCTATTCTGCCTAAAAATACAGAGATTTGATTTTTGGTCCATATCGCCCAGCCCTACAACTCGGTTGAAAGGTTATTCAGTAACTTTTATTTTCTAATGACACTGCATTGATCCTTCTTCTGCATTTGCCTCACTTCCACTACATGTGTTTGTGTGTGTAGGAGTTGGTCTAGCCTTGACGTCAGCTGGTAGTGCATACGCATTTGTAGATTACTCGGTCCAGTGTGCATTAGTAGACCTGTGTGAGCTTGGTTAGATAAATATTTGTGTTCATAGGGAGAGGTTACCACACTCTGCATCTATATGACTATGTCATTTGAATCCCAGAGCAGTGGGGTTGTCTTACTCTGGGTGTATGTGCGTCAATTTGTTTAAACATCAGGTTATCAGGAGAGTGGTTTACAGGACACAATGTCTCCTCATCTCCAGTGCTCAGATTATATAATGGCTGCACTGTATTGTTACCATAGCGAAGCTGTTAAGAAATGCTGGCCTCACCACAGTGGGTAGGAGTTTTTTTTTTTTTGTTGTTTTTTTTAACAGCTCTGGGGTTTTCCCTGGATTTTCCAGAACCATGGTTAGTGGCATAGCCAGAAATGGGGCTTTGATGCAAAAAAAAGTCAGTTAAAATTAAGCTTGTCTTAACACTCAGCAGAATGTAAACTAAATTGTAAATGCAGGTTTACATCCGTCACTCCCACATGAAGTGGAACTGGTCGTGTTTCCATACACAGACCCAACACCAGGCAACATTGGGTCTACTTTCTTCTTGTTCATTGATGCAGGTGAAGGTTTGTTGCAGCATGGGCACGTTGTAGAGTAAAATGTGCCTGTATTTTAATTTATTATCAGATGAGAATCACTTAAAATGCTAAAGGCCCAATGCTCAAAAAATGAATTGACTTAGCCTGTAAACAATTAGTATAAACACACACTGAAGGAACTTAGGTCAACAAAATGATCGTGCTAATTAGGAGTGTGTATACACTCACTCAGCAATTTATTAGCGCCTGCTAATAGGTGTAAATACACACTACATATATACAGTAAAAATACTATACCACAGTTTACCATCTTCTATGATTATGCAAAAGTCGTCTCAAACTGGTTTCATGAATGTGACAATGACTTCAGTGAACTAAGTTGGCCTTGCCAGTCATGAGATCTGAATCAGTAGAACACCCTGGGATGTGGTAAAACAGGAGATTGGCACCATGATTGTTCATTTGACAAAGCAGCAGAAATGATGTGATGCAATCATGTCAACATGTAGCAGAATGAATGTTTACGAAATCTTGTGTAATCCATGATGCAAAGAATTTAGGCTGTTATTGAAAGCAAATGGAGGCCCTACCCAGTATTAATATGGTGTTACTAATAAAGTGCTTAGTAAGTGTATGTCACTGTCTGTTGCTTCAGTAGAAATCTAAATTGAGCTGTTCAGTGTAGTTTCTGTAGCATGCTGCCATCTTAAATGAGGAAGCTGGTTGGTTGTTTCTGTTTTAATATTATCAAATAGTAATATTAATTTTTAATTAAGTTCCCCACTGAATTTGGTTTGGATTTGTGGTTGCATATGGGTGTAGCCATATCTCTGACTCACTGGGGTGACGCTAGCTCAGGTGGTAGCATGCCCAGTAACTGTAGGGTGGTG